GATACCTTGCAACACTGCTATACCTTGCAACACTGTGATATCTTGCAACACTGGGATACCTTGCAACACTGGGATACCTTGCAACACTGGGACACCTTGCAACACTGGGACACCTTGCAACACTGGGATACCTTGCAACACTGCTATACCTTGCAACACTGTGATACCTTGCAACACTGGGATACCTTGCAACACTGGGATACCTTGCAACACTGGGATACCTTGCAACACTGCGATACCTTGCAACACTGGGATACCTTACAACACTGGGATATATTGCAACACTGAGATGACTTGCAACACTGGGATACCCTGCAACACTGGGATACCTTGAAACACTGGGATACCTTGCAACACTGGGATACCTTGCAACACTGGGATACCTTGCAACACTGGGATACCTTGCAACACTGGGATACCTTGCAACACTGGGATACCTTGCAACACTTGAATACCTTGCAACACTGGGATACCTTGCAACACTGGGATACCTTGCAACACTGGGGTATATTGCAACACTGAGATGGCTTGCAACACTGGGATACCCTGCAACACTGGGATACCTTGCAACACTGGGATACATTGAAACACTGGGATACCTTGCAACACTTGAATACCTTGCAACACTGGGATACCCTGCAACACTGGGATACCTTGCAACACTGGGATACCTTGCAACACTGGGATACCTTGAAACACTGGGATACCTTGCAACACTGGGATACATTGAAACACTGGGATACCTTGCAACACTGGGATACCTTGAAACACTGGGACACCTTGCAACACTGGGATACCTTGCAACACTGCTATACCTTGCAACACTGTGATACCTTGCAACACTGGGATACCTTGCAACACTGGGATACCTTGCAACACTGCGATACCTTGCAACACTGCGATACCTTGCAACACTGGGATACCTTACAACACTGGGATATATTGCAACACTGAGATGGCTTGCAACACTGGGATACCCTGCAACACTGGGATACCTTGCAACACTGGGATACATTGAAACACTGGGATACCTTGCAACACTGGGATACCTTGCAACACTGGGATACCTTGCAACACTGGGATACCTTGCAACACTGGGATACCTCGCAACACTGGGATACCTTGCAACACTGGGATACCTTGCAACACTGGGATACCTTGCAACACTTGAATACCTTGCAACACTGGGATACCTTGCAACACTGGGATACCTTGCAACACTGGGGTATATTGCAACACTGAGATGGCTTGCAACACTGGGATACCCTGCAACACTGGGATACCTTGCAACACTGGGATACATTGAAACACTGGGATACCTTGCAACACTTGAATACCTTGCAACACTGGGATACCCTGCAACACTGGGATACCTTGCAACACTGGGATACCTTGAAACACTGGGATACCTTGCAACACTTGAATACCTTGCAACACTTGAATACCTTGCAACACTGGGATACCTTGCAACACTGGGATACCTTGCAACACTGGAATACCTTGCAACACTGGGATACCCTGCAACACTGGGATACCTTGCAACACTGGGATACCTTGCAACACTGGGATACCTTGCAACATTTGAATACCTTGCAACACTGAGATACCTTGCAACACTTGAATACCTTGCAACACTGGGATACCTTGAAACACTGGGATACCTTGAAACACTGGGATACCTTGCAACACTGGGATACCTTGCTCCGATCAAGCAATAACCGAAAAAATCTGGTTACTTAAACGATGAATACTTAACAGAAAAATGGGAGACTATTGTACATCTGAGCATTAAACAGAAAAACATAATGCATAATTATTAATGATTAATGTTAGGGTTGTTATGATGGCAGGTAACCTGTCATTACTCGTCAGCTGGGGATAATGACCTGGCCTTATGTTATAATAATGCATATTTTTTTATGTTCACAATTTTTTAGCATTGTATAATTAGATTTCATATTAATTTGTAACACTGACTGAGCTGGGGGAAGTACTTGTCGCCATTTTACATTACCTGAATAACATGTGAAAGTGAGGTTTAAAAGTCTTGCCTCCTTACCACACTCGCTCAGAGGTCACCTGGCATACTGCCACCGGTCAGGGAGGGACGTGAGTTAGTGCTGTCTCCAACCAAACAGCATCATGCAGAAAAACTTTACACAATAGCATATTTGAGAGAGAATTTATGAGAACTGGTTAATATCTACAGCTTATGCTATAACGAACTGTTTTAAAAGATGTTTTACATGATGTGAGTACTTATGTTCTGGTAGTAATGTCCTGTGTGGACTTTGTCGCTTTAATTACACTGTTGACTTTCACTCTGGGAGATAAAATCATCACTCTGATGTTCAGAGTTGCGAAGATCATACGGACAAAAAACCTAGTTTATATATTGCCTCGTATAGGCTGGTTCTGTAAAGTTGTCTGGTGTGTACTTAGGCTCTAAAACAGATTGCATATACATATATATATATATATATATATATATATATATATATATATATATATATATATATATATATATATATATATATGTATATATATATATATAATAATTCTCAAACAGCTTCAGGGAGAACCTTGAGTTTTCCCTGAAGCAAGTTTATTCTTTTCTCTGAGCATGAGGGTCCCTATAACAGCTCTAGAGGTGGTACCTCCCTATATTTTATATATATATATATATATATATATATATATATATATATATATATATATATATATATATATATATATATATATATATATATAATATATATATATATATAACTTTCCTCATCACTCACTTCATCACTGCCTTGCCAGAGGCATGCTTACTCGACAGTTATAAAACTGCAACATTAACACCCCTTCTTCAGAGTGCCGGCACTGTACTTCCCATGTCCAGGAATCAAGTCCGGCCTGCCGGTTTCCCTGAATCCCTTCATAAATGTTACTTTGCTAACACTCCAACAGCACGTCAAGTCCAAAGAATCATTTGTCTCCATTTGCTCCTATCTAACACTCTCACGCACGCTTGCTGGAAGTCCAAGCCCCTAGCACACAAAACCTCATTTACCCCTTCCCTCCACCCTTTCCTAGGACGACCCCTACCCCGCCTTCCCTCCATTACAGATTTATACACTCTCGAAGTCATTCTATTTCGTTCCATCCTATCTATATGTCCAAACCATTCCAATAACCCCTCCTCAGCACTCTAAATAATAGTTTTGGTAATCCCAAAACTCCTCATAATCTCCAAACTACGGATTCTCTGCACACCACACATTGCCCTCAGACATGACATCTCCACTGCTCCAGCCTCCTCGTTGTTGCAACATTCAAAACCCATGCCTAATACCCATACAAGAGCGTTGGTATAACTATACTCTCATACATTCTCCTCTTTGCTTTCATGGATAAAGTTCTTTGTCTCCACAGACTCCTCATTGCACCACTCACCTTTTTCCCCTCGTTAATTCTATGATTCACCTCATCCTTCATAAACCCATCTGCTGACACATCCACTCCCAAATATCTGAACACATTTACCTCCTCCATACTCTCTCCCTTCAGTCTGCTATCCAATCTTCCGTTACCTATTTTTTTTTTTTGTTATCCTCATCACCTTACTCTTTCTTATATTCACTTATAATTTCCTTCTTTTACATACTCTACCAAACTCATCCACCAACCTCTGCAGCTTCTCTTCAGAATCCTCCAAAAGCACAATGTCACCAGCAAAGAGCAACTGTGACAACTCCCACATTGTGTTAGATTCTTTATCTTTTAACCCCACACTTCTTGCCAACACCCGAGCATTCACCTCTCTTACAATTCCATCTATAAATATACTGAATAACCATGGTGACATCACACATCCCTGTTTAAGGACTACTTTTACTGGGAAAAAATCTCCCTTCGCTTACATACTGTAACCTGAACCTCACTATCCTCGTAAAAACTGTTCACCCCTTTCAGTAACCTACCTCCTATTCCATACATTTGCAACATTTGCCACATTGCCCCCTATCCACCCTACCATATGCCTTTTCCAAATCGATAAATGCCATAAATACCTCTTTACCCTTATCTAGATACTGTTCACCTACATGTTTCACTGCAAACATTTGGTTTACACACCCCCTACCCTTCCTAAAGCCTCCTTGTTCATCTGCTATCCTGCTCTCCGTCTTACTCTTAATTCTTTCAATAATAACTCTGCCATACACTTTACCAGGTATACTCAACATGCTTATTCCCCTATAATTTTTACACTCTCTTTTGTCACTTTTGCCTTTATACAAAGGAACTATGAATGCTTTCTGCCAAGCATGTCTGCTCTGGTAGGAGAGACAAATACGTCATACACACGCACGCACGCACGCACTCACGCCCGCACGCCCGCACGCACGCACGCACGCACGCACGCATGCATGCACGCACGCACACACACATGCACGCACACACACACACACATATGCACGCACGCACGCGCGCACACAAATACACACACACACAGCTATGAATCGACCTCTGCAACAACAATTAGGAGAGTACACACACATCATCATAGGCTTAATTACTGTAACTAAAAATGCGCCCTCGCACTGTGGCCATTCCGTGTGACCCAGCGCTGTGACCACTCCACGTGACCCAGCGTTGTGACCATGATATGCGATTCAAGGGTGTGACCATGATATATGTCCCAACTTTGTGACCCTGATATGTGACCCTACCCAGTAGCTTTTTTTGTGAATAATATTTATACATACAAGTGTTGAGTGGACAATTATCAGGCAATTCATGAAATAAAAAAAAATGGTCTCTCAATAGGAATAAGATAGTTATACAAGAGTATTTCTATAACTTTAAAGATCTATGCCAGTTGTTGATGTTATCAGGAGCAACAAAACAACTTAAATAACGTGAACAATCAAAATTGTGTAGAGAAACATTTTTGATACATCAGTAGTGCGCAAGAGTCAGAAGTGAGTGAAGCTATAGATAAAAACACTTACACTTGAGGGAGGGTCTGTCTGTTGGCCAGCCATACGACCTCCGTGAAGTGAATGATGTTGAGGTAATGTTCCAGCGCTGCCTCAGCCCGCCACGCCTCCACTAGTGGACGGTCCAGCACACACACAGCCCAGGGACACAACAAAGTAGAATCAGACTATAAAGTGATAAAACACATACACATACACACACACACACACACACATACACACATACACACACACGCACACACACACACACACACACACACACACACACACACACACACACACACACACACACACACATAAACACAGTAAAGAGGCGGGGCCAGGAGCTATGTATCGACCCCTGCAACCACAAACAGGTGAGTACAAATAGGTGAGTACAGCCCAGGGACACAACAGGATAGAATCAGGCTATAGAGTAGTAACGCACACACACACACACACATAAACACAGTGAAGAGGCAGGGCCAGGAGCTATGTATCGACCCCTGCAACCACAAATAGGTGAGTACAAATAGGTGAGTACAGCCCAGGGACACAACAGGATAGAATCAGGCTATAGAGTAATAACACACACACATACACACAGGAGGCCAGGAGCTAGGACTCGACTCCTGCAAGCTCAACTAGGTGAGTACACACACGCACACACATATACAAACAGGCAGGAATAGCAGGGAGAGTATTGCAATGGATCAGGGAATACCTGACAGAAAGGAAACACTACGGTACGTGACAAGGTGTCAGACTGGGTGCGTGTGTCGAGTGAGGTTCCATAAGTTCCGGCGCTGTTTCTTGTATATGTGAATGACATGATAGAAGGGACAGATTCAGAGGCGTCCCTGTTTGCAGGAGATGTGAAGCTAATGAGAAGAATACAAGTAGACGAAGATCAGGTATGCCTACAAGGAGATCTGGACAGGCTGCAAGCCTGGTCCGACAAATGGCTCCTGGAATTTAACTCCACCAAGTGAGTCATGAAGTTTGGTGAAGGACAAAGAAATCCGCAGACGGAGTATAGCCAAGTTGGTCAAAGACTGCAAAATTCAATCAAGGAAAATGATCTTGAGGTTAACATCATGCTGAACACATCTCCTGAGGCGCACATCAACCAAATAACTACTGCAGCATATGGGAGCCTGGCAAACCTAATAACAGTGCTTCTATATCTAAAGAAGGAGTCATTAACGACACTGTACGAGCAGCAGCTACTGGAAACTTGTGGACAATAAAGGATTGATGCTGAAGATGGAAGAGAAAAGAGAAACAGCTGCTGCTGCATCTACTATTTTTTTGTGCTGTATTGCCAGTCGAATATGGCCATGTCATTGAGGACGCAAGGAGAGCTGTTGGTGAAGGCGAGAATGTTCTAGTAGTAGGCAAACCCCAGATTAAATTTATTGACAGGGCTTTTCGTAACAAAGATGGCAGGTGTGCTTTCTTGGGTCTGAAATAAATGATGCAGTTAGCAGATTAGGAAACGTCATTGTTGTAGGTTTGAGGTTCGAAACGTTGTGGGTACATTTGGAGAAATACACAGCTGCTCTGCACAGTGTTTATTAGAGAGATAGGTCGTGTCGTCTTCCAGCGTATCGTTTCAGCTTAACGTCTACGTGTTGACTGAGTTATGCCCCGAGGCGAGCTGGGGGGTTTTGAACTTCAGAAGTCAGCGTCAGTGACCTTTACATTCCTAAGCAATGACCTGGTAACAGCTAACACTGCAAATATTACATGCTATTCACAACGTGACTGGTAATGGAGGAACTTTATTATTGCCTCATTACTGGAGGTAATGATGTTGGGAGGTGTAAGAGTGAGGACCTGCTTGCCGGTTATACCAGGACAAGGATTGACCACTTCAAGATGAGGAGTTGACCACGTCTGGACGAAAGTGAAGAAACTTTTACTCTGGAGTTAGTAGTGACATCTAAACTCTAGTGCAGAGTAATTATTGACAGAGCTCTCCTGCATCACTGTGCTTTGTCTTCTGGACACGACTGCTACGTTCTGTCGTCAGGGGGTTACGTTCTGTCATCATTGCTACGTTCTGTTGTTAGTGCTACGTTCTGTCGTCAGTGCTACGATCTGTTGTCATGGTTACCTTCTGCCGTCAGAGGTTACGGTCTGTCATCAGTGCTACGTTCTGTCGTCAGTGCCACGTTCTATTGTCAGTGCTACGTTATGTCGTCAGTGCTACGTTCAGTCGTCATGGTTACATTCTGTCGTCAATGACACGTTCTGTCGTCAGTGCTACGTTCTGTCGTCAGTGCTACATTCTATCGTCAGTGCTACGTTCTGTCATCATGATTACGTTCTGTCATCAGTGCCACATTCTGTCGTAAGTGCTGCGTTCTGTCGTCATGGTTCTGTCGTTACGAGGTAGTATTTATTCCCTACATTGTTATAGGGAAGTGCTGAACCCATCGGGGTCATATAGACTATTTGGTCAAAAACGATTGTCATGTAATGTTAATTTCGTATTGGCAGACTTTATTGATTAATGAATGTGTGTGTTGAGGGTGTGGCACTGAGTACACAGTGACACTGAGTACACTGGCACTGAGTAAACTGGTACTGAGTACACAGTGACACTGAGTACACTGGCACTGAGTAAACTGGTACTGAGTACACAGTGGCACTGAGTACACTGGCACTGAGTAAACTGGTACTGAGTACACAGTGACACTGAGTACACTGGCACTGAGTAAACTGGTACTGAGTACACAGTGGCACTGAGTACACTGGCACTGAGTACACTGGTACTGAGTACACAGTGACACTGAGTACACTGGCACTGAGTAAACTGGTACTGAGTACACAGTGACACTGAGTACACTGGCACTGAGTAAACTGGTACTGAGTACACAGTGGCACTGAGTACACTGGCACTGAGTAAACTGGTACTGAGTACACAGTGACACTGAGTACACTGGCACTGAGTAAACTGGTACTGAGTACACAGTGGCACTGAGTACACTGGCACTGAGTACACTGGTACTGAGTACACAGTGACACTGAGTACACTGGCACTGAGTAAACTGGTACTGAGTACACAGTGGCACTGAGTACACAGTGGCACTAAGTACACAGTGGCAATGAGTACACAGTGGCACTGAGTACACAGTGGCACTGAGTACACAGTGGCACAGTACACAGTGGCACTGCGTACACAGTGGCACTGAGTACATTGGCAATGAGTACACTGGCACTGAGTACACAGTGGCACTAAGTACACAGTGGCAATGAGTACACAGTGGCACTGAGTACACAGTGGCATTGAGTACATTGGCACTGAGTACACTGGCACTGAGTACATAGTGGCACTGAGTACACAGTGACACTGACTACATTGGCACTGAGTACACTGGCACTGAGTACACTGGCACTGAGTACACAGTGGCACTAAGTACACAGTGGCACTGAGTACACAGTGGCACAGTGCACAGTGGCACTGCGCACACGGTGGCACTGAGTACACGGTGGCATAGTACACAGTGGCACTGAGTACACAGTGACACTGACTACATTGGCACTGAGTACACTGGCACTGAGTACAGAGTGGCACTAAGTACACAGAGGCACTGAGTACACAGTGGCACAGTACACAGTGGCACTGTGTACACAGTGGCACTGAGTATACGGTGGCATAGTACACAGTGGCACTGAGTAAAAAATGGCACTAATACGCAGTGGCACTGAGTACATAGTGGCACTGCGTACACAGTGGTACAGTACACAGTGGCACTAATACACAGTGGCACTGAGTCCACAGTGGCACAGTACACAGTGGCACTGAGTACACAATGGCACAATACACAGTGGCACTGAGTACACAATGGCACAGTACACAGTGGCACAGTACACAGTGGCACTGAGTACACAGTGGCACAGTGCACAGTGGCACTGAGCACACAGTGGCACAGTACACAGTGGCACTAAATACACAGTAACACAGTACACAGTGGCAGTGAAAACACAGTGGCACGGAGTCCACAGTGGCACAGTACACAGTGGCACAGTATACAGTAGCAGAGTACACAGTGGCACAGTACACTGTAGCACAGTACACAGTGGCATAGTACACAGTGGCACAGTACATAGTGTTATAGAGTGTTACTCACCTCTCGCCAACATGGAACCAGGTACTGCCTCACAGGCGGTCCGTGCCTCGTCCCAGGTGAGGGCGGAGGTGGAGGCCAGGAGGGAGTACCTCCAGGCTGAGCCGCCCACCGCCCCTTCGTGAATCAGAGATACCTCCGCCCGCGCCGCCCCCTGCGATACCTCCGCCCGCGCCGGCCCCTGAAACATATGTCACCATTGAAATGAGATACAGTACACAGATTAGATTTTTTTTTTCATTCTCTCCACTGTAGTGTCTAGTTAATGATTAAAACACGTGTACAACAGTTGGAACGTGTCACCTACACAGGCTTTTCTAGTCAACTAAATGGCAGCAAGTATAGTAGTGAAATGAAGATTATGTAATCAGTCCATCAACCTTGGAGAAATAGTATTTGAGGTGGTCAGTCCCTCATCATGAAGAATCGTTCAGCCCCATGGAGCTGATACCCAACTGTTGCACATGTGTCATAATCATCAGTTTGTTGGAATTTTATACCATTTTCAACATTGGTGTCTAAACGACTCACGAAATCGTAATGCCACGATTGCAAACAAACGGAACTTCTGGGATCTAGGCCCCCAAAAGGGACCTAGTTCTCATGAGAACATCTGGGTTAATATTTACAGTTTATGCTTCAGCTGTTATAAATTTAGAAAGATTGCTTAAAACGTCTGGTGGTTACAGTATTTTCACTAATAAGGTATCTAGATATGTGAGGGAGAATATTCCACTGTATGTTAATAATACTCAATATGTGAACATCAGGCAGTGTTCAAGTGGTCATAAGGGTGGCAAAAATAGGTGGGTGAAAATGGTTGGTTGGTTTTGAGAAAGACCTGCCTAGTAAGGGCCAGTAGGCCTGCTACAGTGCTTCTCCTCTCTTATGTTTCTATGTACTTGTCACCATAAATCTGTTACTTGTGACACTGCATGTTGTTCAGTAAATGTGCATCTCTGTGTCCATGTAATGATACTGATAGATCCACTCAGGCTCTAACTGTATTCTTATAACATGCACATTTGTTATTTATTTCTCCCTTACTTCTAAAGCTCGATACAAACTGGTAAAGTTATGTTCTGTTATTTCCATTATGGGATTTTTTTTTTCTGCTAGCTTATTAACTTTATTTTGTGTGAGGAAAATAAATAGTGGAGATAACTGTGGTAGTCATAAGAACATAAGAACATAAGAACGAAGGAACACTGCAGAAGGCCTACTGGCCCATGCGAGGCAGGTCCAAGTCTCCTACCGGCTTAAGCCAATGCACCCAACCTAGTCAGGTCAGGTCACATTGACTTAAGGGAGGAACACGGCAACCGACCTGTTAGCACAAGCTATCAGGTCTAACTCACACCCACCCACATCTACTCATGTATTTATCCAACCTATTTTTAAAGCTACACAACGTTCTGGCCTCTATAACGGTACTTGGGAGTTTGTTCCACTCATCCACAACTCTATTACCAAACCAGTACTTTCCTATATCCTTCCTGAATCTGAATTTTTCCAACTTAAAACCATTGCTGCGGGTCCTGTCTAGGCTAGATATTTTCAGCACACTATTTACATCCCCTTTATTTATTCCTGTCTTCCACTTATACACCTCAATCATATCCCCCCTAATTCTACGTCTTTCTAGAGAGTGCAGATTCAGGGCCCTTAGTCTATCCTCATAGGGAAGGTTTCTGATACATGGGATCATCTTTGTCATCCTCCTTTGTACATTTTCCAGAGAATTTATATCCATTCTGTAATACGGTGACCAAAACTGTGCAGCATAATCTAAATGAGGCCTAACCAAGGATGTATAGAGTTGAAGAACAACCTGGGGACTCCTATTATTTATGCTTCTTGATATGAAGCCAAGGATTCTATTAGCTTTATTGCGAACACTTATGCACTGTTGTCTTGGTTTCAGATTACTGCTAACCAGAACTCCTAAATCTTTTTCGCAATCCGTAATATTAAGATCTACATTATTTAGTTTATATGTGGCATGGTTATTGTCCTGTCCAACATTTAGAACTTTGCATTTGTCTATATTAAACTGCATCTGCCACTTCTCCGACCACTGCATCAGTCTATTCAAATCTTCCTGGAGTGCTCGAATGTCCTCGTCAGAATGAATTCGACGGCCTATTTTGGTGTCATCGGCAAACTTGCCGATGTCGCTCTTTATGCCCTCATCTATGTCGTTTATGTAGATTGTGAACAGCAGGGGGCCCAACACTGACCCCTGTGGAACACCGCTCGTGACGCTTCCCCACTCTGATTTCTCCCCATTTATGCAAACTCTCTGCTGCCTATTTGTCAACCATGACTCTATCCAGGAAAAAATTTCTCCTCCTATTCCATGTGCTTTAATTTTCCTCAATAGTCTCTGATGTGGGACCCTGTCAAAAGCCTTACTGAAGTCCATATACACAATATCATATTCATTACCATGATCTACCTCCTCAAATACCTTAGTGAAAAAAGTTAATAAATTCGTAAGGCAGGAACGCCCCTTTGTAAAACCATGCTGAGATTCGTTGATTAATTTATGCTTTTCAAGGTGGCTACGAACTGCCTCGGCAATTATTGATTCCATAAATTTTCCCACTATGGAGGTTAGGCTTATTGGTCTATAGTTCGAAGCTAAGGACCTGTCACCTGTTTTGAAAATAGGTATCACATTTGCCATTTTCCACTTATCTGGCACCATGCCAGTTTGTAGTGATATGTTGAAAAGATTAGCCAAAGGTGTGCTAAGCTCCTCTTTACATTCCTTTAGAACCCTTGCATACAGTTCATCAGGGCCTGGGGATTTGTTAGGTTTTAATTTATCTATTTGCCTAAGGACCATGTCACTTGTGACCCTAATAGTGCACAGTTTATTATCGTCCTGTTCTACATAATTTATCATTACTGGAATATCACTGGTATCCTCCTGTGTAAAAACTGAGAGGAAGTATGTGTTAAAAATTCTACACATTTCCTTATCACTGTCAGTGAGCTGACCCGAGGAACTTTTGAGTGGGCCTATCTTGTCCCTGATCTTACTTCTGTATACCTGAAAGAATCCTTTTGGGTTAGTCTTCGATTCTCTTGCAACTTTAACCTCATAATCTCTTTTTGCTTTTCTAATTCCCTTTTTTATTTCTCTCTTTAACTGAATATATCGATTTCTTAATTGCCCCTCTCCTCTTTTGATTTGCCTATATATGCCTCTCTTTTGACCAATCAGATATTTTAATCTATTGTTCATCCATTTAGGATCATTTTTGTTTGATCTGATTTCCCTATTTGGAACATAATTTGACTGAGCAGCTAGAACTATGCCCTGGAAAGCATCATATCGGCAACCATCACCACCTACCTGACCCTTAGTCAGGTCATTCCAGTTCAGCCCACCTAAGTAATTTTTCAGTCCTATGAAATCAGCCAAGCGAAAGTCAGGGACGGAGACTTGATTGCCATTATTAGGGGAATTCCATAATATGTTAAAACTGAGTGATTTGTGATCACTCTCCCCAAGCTCATCATTAACCTCAAGATTATTAATTAGTGTTTCCCTACTGGCAAGAACCAAGTCAAGGAGGTTATTTCCCCTAGTTGGCTCTGTCACAAACTGTTTTAAAAAACAATCCTGGATCGAATCAAGAAAGTCACCCGACTCTAAATTTCCTGTCAAATTGCTCCAGTCAATCTGTCTATAGTTGAAATCTCCCATTAGCACAACATTTTCGTATGTAGATGCCTTACGAATTTCGTCCCATAGAAGTTTACTGCACTCCCTATCAAGATTTGGGGCCCTGTAAATCACACCCAAAATTAGTTTTTCTCGGCCCTCGAGAAGCTGTAACCAAACAGATTCAGTGGCTGACGCTTCTAATTTAATATCTTGTCTAACACAACAATTTAAATTGTCTCTGACATACATCGCTACTCCACCACCTTTCCTGTTGACCCTGTCATGTGTGGAATAATTTATAGCCTTGTATGTGACATTCAGAGGGCATCTCTCTATCTTTCAGATTGAGCCAGGTCTCTGTTATAGCAATAATATCTATGTTTCCTGCACTTGCAATTAATCTTAGCTCATCTATCTTATTTCTAACACTCCTGCTATTAGTATAGTAAACCTTAAGGGAGCTAGTCCCTTGCTGCCCTCTGCTGTCCCCCTTTGTTTGCTGACCTGTTCTATTGTCTTTATTTATAACTTCATGCTGAATGCCTTTTATACATTTACTGTTTCCAACCCTAGTGTTGCAACCTGCTTGTTTCCCACACACACCCATACCTCTATCTTCCATCAGTTTAAAATCATAGGCATTTCACCAATGGCCTTCTCAATCGAGTCTGCAAGTGCTACCACCCCTGCCCCAGAGAGATGTACCCCATCCCTTGCATACATATCATGTTTGCCATAAAAGTTGTTCCAGTTGTCAATGAATGGGATTGCAAGTTCCTTGCAGTATCTGTCTAGCCAGCAATTTACACCAATTGCCCTAGACAACCATTCATTTCCTACTCCCCTTCTAGGCAAGATGCTACATATGATTGGGATCCCTCCCTTAGACTTAATGAAATCTATAGCTGACCTGTACTTATCTAGCAGCTCTTCTCTTCTACCCTTCCCAATATCATTTCCACCAGCACTGAGACAGATAATGGGCTTGTTCCCATTACCTGACATGATATTATCCAGCCTGTTGACAATGTCCCCAACACCAGCTCCAGGGAAGCACACTCTATCTCTCATCTTCTTATTCCTATTACAAAAAGCACGGTCAACATATCTTACCTGAGAGTCACCAACCACAAGAATGCGCTTACCTTCATTAGCAGGGCAGTAGTACCCTTACCTTCACTGGCCACTGAAGTACATTCATCCTGGAGAACAGAGAAGCGATTTCCTACCTTCAGATCTTCACTCTTAACTTTCCTTACTCTGATGCGCCTCCCATTACTGTGAACAACTCGCCACTTGTAGCAGGTGCTGGGCTGCACCTCACTGCTGGTAGCCGTTGCTACCTCCCCACCTACAGCCTCCTCACAGTGAGAGACAGACTGCACCTCACTGCTAGAAGCCTCATTCCCCACATCTCCAACCACCTCACACTCTCTCCCAGGCCCATTGAGGTGGACCTTCAGCCTCCTAATCTCCTTCTGGAGAAGCAAGACCTCCTCCTT